TGTTACCTAGAGCGGTCTGCATACAAATACAGCCCGGATAGGAATGCCCACTCCAAACTGACAACCACCCATTAAGACATTTATATATTTGCATAACTCCTCCCATAATCCAGCCCTCAGCTTGCACCAGGCAGGGTGAGGTGATGTTTTCAGGATGCTATGTACAGCACTTCGTCTGCCCCTCCCACCAGCCATGATCTGCCTGCATTGCATAGAGAAGCACAAAGACTAAAATAAGATATATATATATATATCCCGCCTCCCTCCCAAGTCAATCCAGTTTGCAGGATCACTTACCTCCGAATGCTGCAGCTGCTGATACCTGTGCTCACAGTCAAGGTGTGTTGTATACATGCAGATTAAATTACTGATTTTTTTTTTTCTATGCCATCTACAAGGTGCCCATAGATCCAAAAATAAAAGTCTCCCAGTTCAGCCATCGCGTGCCCATCTCTCTTCTCCACCGTGCGTGCGATTAGAGCAGGTCGGACCAAAACGCACTCACTTGTGCACGCACGTCCATGTGGGGGACAGCAAGGAGGAACACTGGGTGCGTTTGGGAACACCTCCTCTGTATCACAAGCAGGGGTTCCCAGATCACCAACATAAGGGAGCGGCCTGCTCTTCATTCTCCACTTGATTCGGAGTGTACCTTTAATGGTGACCCCCACCAGAAGCAAACACCCCCTCTGCCACCAGGAGCAAAGAAGAATACCAGGTACCACCGAGTATTGTGGAAGACATCACAGTGCTAGTGCATTGATCTCAAATGGGGGGGGCCATGGAGAGTCCTCAGTCCTGAGTGAGGGCCAAGTCAGCAAATGGAGGAGCCAAGGGAAACAAAGTATGTGCAGCTGGTGGGGCCCCTCAGCCCAAGTATGTGCAGCTGGTGGGGCCCCTCAGCCCAAGTATGGGTAGCTAGGGAGATCAGATTAGAGTGAACCCTGCATGGCAAAGCACCGGTCCACTTTAAAGAGACCCTGATATGAAGTGTAGGCCTCTAATAGTCCACTGCAGGAGGGTTGCGCTGTGGTGCGGGACATGCGCACCTCTCGCACTTCTTACCTGCAGCAGTTTCAGAAGGATAAATCCCCCCAATGGGGGGTAAGAAGTGCCTATAGGTGCACATTCCGGCACCAGAAGACATCCCGTTGCATCTAGTGGGAGTGCTGGTGCATGGCTGCTCAGACACCCATTGATGTCACATGGCGAGGTGAGGGAGAGGGAAGGACCAAGTCAGCAAATGGAGAAACAGGGGAGCCGAGGGGAAAAGTATGTGCAGCTGATGGGGCCCCCCGGCTCAAGTATGTGTAGCTGGTGGGGGTCCCCCAGGCTCAAGCATGTGTAGCTGGTGTGGTGGGCCCCCCGGCTCAAGCATGTGTATGTAGTGTGGTGGGCCCCCCGGCTCAAGTATATGTAGCTGGTGGGGGGCCCCCCCGGCTCAAGTATGCGTAGCTGGTGTGGTCGGCCCCCCGGCTCAAGTATGTCTAGCTGGTGTGGTCGGCCCCCCGGCTCAAGCATGTCTAGCTGGTGTGGTCGGCCCCCCGGCTCAAGTATGTGTAGCTGGTGTGGTCGGCCCCCCCGGCTCAAGTATATGTAGCTGGTGTGGTGGGCCCCCCCGGCTCAAGTATATGTAGCTGGTGTGGGGGGCCCCCCAGCTCAAGTATGTGCAGTTGGTGGGGCCGAGATGAGAAGGGAACCCGGCAAAGCACGGGTCCACTGCTGAGACCCTTGGTCTGAAGGCAGGTATGGGGTGCAGGGTTCTGATGGTCCACCACAGGAGGGCCGATGCTGGATTGTGCACCTCTGGGCACTTCTTACTTGTAGCAGAAATTTTACACCGGCAGAAATTAAACCCCCAACAGGAGTTCCAACACTGCCCCCCCCACCCCCATAGCAAAAAAATGTAGAAAAGAATTGCGCCCGATATCAATGCTGAATGGCGGTCAGTAAGGATACCACAGCAGGTTGCCTTCTATGTTCCTCACCGTCCTGCAAGAGAAAACAAATAAAAAGAAAAATGTTCAGCGGAAGTGACAGGATTGAAGCCGGAGGGTCAGCATGGCGGCATTTTGTTTTCTTTGATGCGCTCAGTCATTTTCTCAGGACAGGCGAAATACCGGATCTGCGCTCAAGCCAACCACACGGCTTTGAGCCTGGACCTCACCTCTGGCTGCGCACGTGGTGTATGATGTACTTCCAGATCCCGGTGCACTGACCAAAGAAGAGCCTGAGAGAGAGAGAGAGAGAGAGAGAGAGAGACAAGAGAGTCAGACGGGGGAGACGGGTCCTCTCTTTGGCCTAAAGCTGGCGGGTCGGCCCTCACCTCTGCAGGACGTCCTCCTGGGGTGCTTTCTGTGGAGGAACTCCCATCTCCTCCACCACCCACCTCCGCAGCTCCTGCGCCAGGCCGCGCCGATCCATCCTGAGGAGATAAAAACCCATCAGGTGGGGGGAAAAACAAAACCCCCACAAACGGGATGTCCCTGATTGGCTGCTGGACACATATAAACAAAGCCCTATGTCTCTGATTGGTTGCCATGGCAACACAGATAACATAGTCCTACACATACGTACATGATACGCGTAGCACCAGGTCTCTGATTGGCTGCTGGCAACAGCAAACACAAACTAGACGGAGATAAAGACTGCGGTACTACAGAAGACGGCTCATTCCAAATAGCGCAGTCAGCTGCAACCAATCAGAAAAATTTGAATGACCTTCCCCTCACTTCCTGCCTGTGTGTCCCTTCCCCTCACTTCCTGCCTGTCTGTCCCTTCCCGCCTGCATCCCCTTCCCCTCACTACCCACCTGTGTCACCTTCCCCTGACTTCCCGCCTGCGTCGCCTTCCCCTACCCCTCACTTCCATTCTGCGTGCCCTACCCCTCACTTCCATTCTGCGTGCCCTACCCCTCAGTTCTTGTCTGTTGCACAGGCATAACAGGAAGAGAGTGGAAAGCTTACCAATGGGGACACAAAGTGTAATAAACATAATTTTAGCTGGGTGCGGGAAGGGTCAGACCTCTTGTCAGAAGCATCTTCCTTAGGGAGATTTATTTTCACTTCCTGTTCAGGTTATTTGCAACAGGAAATGTCTCTCTAATGGGGACACAAAGTTTAAACCAGGACCCGGGTCCCAAACCTTCACCAGTCCACCCGGAAATCCGGCTGAATTTGGGCATTGAAGTACGGGGTTATCGGAGGAGGCGCAATGCACAAAGATGAAGATAGATAATTGATAGATCATTTCCAGCAGAGTCCAATCAGATTTCAAAACGGCGGTCACATGACTGAGACTACGGATCCCTCTCCTGTGTGCAGCTTCATGAATTGGATCTTTTCTATGTTATTTTGTATTCCACAAATTATCTCAACAAAACAAAATAAAAACAAACATCATCCACAGGAAATCAAGAGAAGCGGCACCGGGCGGGGGAGGGGTGCTAAAATGAATTCATTAAAATTATCTTTTTTATTATTATTATAACTCCTCGTGTCTGATGGACATGATGTGTGGATTGGACATATTAAAAGCTCTCTATGCATTCTAATTTGGGATGACGTGCCTATAAAAAAAAAAACAACAAAACAAAAAACACAAAAGACCCCTCTAATGGTTACATTTTTATATTTGAATTTGTCTAATGGGAGGTGCTTAAAAAGAACAAGAATGGCAGCTTAGAACTGGCCCCGTCGCCCCTGGCAACCACAATGTGACCCCCCTTCCCCTCTGAGACCCCCATCCCTCTGACGCCAAGGGGCACCCCCCTTCCCTCTGACGTCTAGGGAGACCCCCCATCCCTCTGACGCCTAGGGAGACCCCA